ATACGTTTATTCAAATATAAAGAAATACATAAAACGCAATTGAAATGTTCGTAAGGTGGGTTTGGTTAAACTTGGATTGTTTTCATGATGTTATAATTATAATTAATGATTTGTAAATTAATAAGATTGTTAAAATTGTAATAAATTGTGGTTATCTAAATTCTATGTAAATAATACTGTTAATAATAACATATTAAAATCATTAATTTACATGTTAATTAATAATAAAAATATACTAGTCTAGTTCTAATATATTATAAAGTAATTTGATATACTATTAAATTTAATACAACATTTTTAATTAACATTATTATTTCAAATTGTTTGATAATAATGTATTAATATTTAATTATTAAATATAGTACATTTATCGCTTTTTCATTAATTAAACCACCTATATTTGGAATAAATAATTGATTTATAATTTGATAGTTTATTGATAGTTTATAAATGGTTTATTCAATGTTATATTTTCTAAACAGTTTGAATCTTTTTATACATTTCGATAAAAGTTCAATGTTTTTGATTTGAAAACAGCTTCGAATTATTTCTTATATCGAGAAAAGTAAAAAGAATTTTTTATCACCTTTTCTTTAAAAAAATGTAATTTATGTACACAAATATATTTTAGAAAGTGTACGAGTATTTTCTGGTCGACTTTATGTAGTTTTTTACATAAAAATGTAAAAATCGTACACTTTTTGGTCAAATACCAAATGAATTTCGTATTCGACAAGTTTTCCACTCAAATCATTAAAAAACAGTGTTTAAACTTGAAAAGGACTTAAAAATTGTAAAGCCTTCACCAGAACAGATCAACATATAGCCCAAGTTTTGCAAATGTCATGGAATAAATTTAAATTAACTATTTTTTCTTTTTTGTTTTTTTGTTATAAAAATGTTATTATTAATAAAAAATAATTTATTATTATAATGTTTTTGTTTTATAACATAATTTCAGTTTTTTTTTAATTTTTTGTTATTTCCAAAAATAAAACCAAATATTTACTCACTTAAGTGGGTTTATTCCAAATTAAGTACTTAAATATTGTTACTGTATAAATAATCGGAAACTCAAAAAAATTTCTTATCATAGAACATACGTCAAAATAATAAATTAAATTTTTGAATTCAACTTTTCACATTGTTTATAAATCAAAAACACAACAATAAATATAATTACCAAACAACAAAAAGTTTAATGAAATATAAATACAACAAACAAAACGATAATATTGTTAAAATAACAAATAATTATTATATTAATTACGTTTTGTAAACACTAAACTGCAACTTCTGTATATTCAAACTTAAAATAATATTGAAAATGTGTTTTTTGACTTTTGGAGTAATTTTATTAAATTCATTGTTGATTCAGACTTCAATTAACAGTTTTCAATAAAAAAACATTTCGTTTACAACTATACACGATTGAGATATGTTACTTTAAAAAATTACTTAACTATCGTTTTCATATTTTTGTTGAAAAATATACATAAATATTAAATTGTATTTTTTTAATATCAACGTATCAATTAAAATGTTACAGGAAGGATTTATTAAAATGTATCATTCTGTTTTGGTTATAATATGTGTATAATTTTGATTATATGTTTTTTTCGTTTTATAGTAATTATTTTAAAAATCACAAATAAATAAAACTAGCAAACTTTTTTGGTGTTAAAAATATGACATCAAACTAAAAATGTAAATTTTGAATTAAAGTATAAATATCAGTTATTTTTACACACATTTCAGTTAATGTGTGTAAATAAATCAATAAACAGTTATATAACTATGTTATATTACCTATTTTTCTGGACTTCAAAGGGTTAAATTTATTTCATAACATCAATTTTTACAATAATTATATTAAAAATAAATAAAAAAATGAATTATAACTTAAACTTTCAATAAAAAACGTGTTTTTTGAAAAAATAATTCATGTTTCATTAAAATTAATAAATCCATTTAATACATTATCAATCAAGATGTTTATTCCGAAAGATCACGTCAATGTAGTAGTTGTAGGTCCTTTCCAAAGTGGTAAGAGTACATTTCTTGGCCATCTTTTTGTTGATTTAAAACAAGTAGATCAACGAACAATAGACCGATACAAAAGAGATTGCATTGAATTTTTAAAACCCAATTGTGAGTATGCTTATGTTTTTGAAAAAACTAAAATAGAACATGAAATTGGATTAACGAACATTCAAGCGACAAAAGGAATTTTTGCCAAAGACATTTTACATCCAAAAGAAGAATTGTGTAACTCTGAAATACAACAAGTTTCAATAAAGAAGTATGAAAAAATGAATGTTTCATTCATCGACACTCCAGGCAGGAAAAAGTACATCAAAAACGCGATCCGAGGTATTCACAAAGGAGATGTCGCTTTTCTAGTTATTTGTGCATCACTTAATTTTGAAGACCAAAAAGAATCAATCATTGAAAATTTGATACCATTAAAAATTTTTTTGGTTGAATTAGTAGCAGTGATTGTGACTAAAATGGGTGAAGTGAAATACTCTGAAGTTTGTTTTGAAGAAACAAAACAGAAAATTATAGAATTAATGAAAATCATTGGACTTTCAACTGAAAGTGTTAGATTTGTTCCAATTGATGGACTTGAAGGAGATAACTTGACTGTGTATTCGGACAAAATGGCATGGACAGTCAACAAATATGGTACAGTCGTTGATCTTCTAAACACCCTCATAATCCCAGAGAGAAATCAACTAGACACACAGCCATTCGGGATGACAATAGAAAACATCTGTAAAATCAGAAATGTTGGCACCGTGTTGGTTGGAATTGTCGAAAGTGGAGTTGTACATGCAAATCAAATTGTAACGGTTTCTCCAAGCGGACTTTCAGTCAAAACAAAAAGTGTTGAAACGATGGGCAATCCTATTTTGGAAGGCAAAGGGAGAGTTTTGGTTGGTGTGAATGTCGTGGGTGCAACAGATTTTGACTACAAAATAGGATAAGTCCATTCGGATGTCAACCGTCCTGCTGTTCGATGTGAACAATTTGTTGCTCGTATACAAATTGTTGATAATAGAACAGTAAAGGAGGGGTGGAATCCAACGTTGAACATTCACTTAGCACAAGTGCCTTGTATAATACTTAAAATTGTACAAATACTAAAAAGGAATGCATGCCACAAAGATAAAAGTAGTATGGAAATAATAAAAGGAGACACCGCAGAAGTAATCATAATGCCAATCAAACCAGTTTGTGTTGAGACTTATAAAAATTTTCCAAAATTGGGTACATTCGTATTGAGAGATAATGGAAAAATAGCAGCTTTTGGATGTGTCAAAGAAATGACACCATGGTCTATCACATCAAGAGAAATAATCAAAAAACACTGTGGAAAACACAGTGTTTTTGCTGGAAGAAAAGATTCGATTTATTATTATTCATGGTGGACAAAAGATATTAGATTGTATTAATTTACATACTATTGACAAACAACCTATAATTATATTTGTTTTACATTATAAAAATATACACTGTCTATATATAATTGTATAATATTTTAATGACTTATTCAAAAATTATATTTGTTTTATATTATTTTAAAAATAACAAAAAATATTAATACCAGTTAAATTAAACTTAATAATACATCTAAATGTTAAGTAACTTCCCAAAGTGTGTAAGTTAATGAATAGTCTATTTATAATTATTGCCAATAAAAGATAATTATTTATTTTTGTTTATGTTTTCAAACACCAAAACTTAAAAAAATGAATAATCATAATACAAGTCTTCATCACTGCATTAAGGTTGTTCACAACTCTTCAGTCCTGTTATAAAAGCCGAACATTTTTGAGATGTGCCAAGATAAAAAATCAGTTACCATTTTTTATTAATTGCACAGACACATTTTTGAATAACATAGTGGTTGTCGCTATAAATGGTTTTAAACATGGCTGTCAATAAATTGAGCAAATAATAAACCGAAAAACTATTGTTCTTTTTATTGTATTTATTTATTTTTTAGTTTATTTAAACAAAAAAAATAAAAAAGAATAAATGTAACGATTACAAACAAATTACAACGAAATAAAATGAATAAACCACAGCGCGTATTGCTA